TAGCGTTTGTTTGGTTTGTTTACAAAGTTCGAGGGGGTCAGAGTTCACCCGGAAGTGTTGGTTAAGACTTCCGTGTCACGATAGCAACTAAAGCGATCAAGCGAACGCTAGTGGGCGAACCGTGAATTGCAGTTGGTAAGCAGTTTGTTAGAGTTCCATGCAATGTGAGCGCATTTCCATGTTCACAGAACATGTACAGTAACAATCGACCATATTACGGGAAATGTCGGCGCATTTCACACTGTTCAAATAAAATACACCACTCGTAGCTGGGTTTACGACATGGGGCTTCACTCAGTTTGTTGAGAGTGATAACTTTAAGCACGCGGCGGTGCGCTGTATGAGAGCAATGATCTCGTCTCTGTCTTTGTGCAGGTTTAGTTTCACACAAAGTAACAGGGTCTAACTTGGTTCAGTTTCTAAACAAGCTTTACTTGGACAAAACTTAAAATAAGTCCTATTCAATTACACTCGGACACGCGCAGTGTTTACACGATAAATAATTGAATAGACATACACAGAAAAGCATTAACTTTAACGTTAACTGTTTATCACGGGGATCACGGATAGTGGGACACGCACTGGTGATCAAATAAAATAAACAGATAAGCATTAAGTGTTTATCACAATGGAACACGCACTGCGATCAAACAAATAAACAGATAAGCATTAAGTGTGTATCGCGGAGATCACAATGGAACACGCACTGCGATCAAATAAAATAAACAGAAAGCATTAAGCATTTATCACGGAGATCACAATGGAACACGCACTGCGATCAAATAAAATAAACAGAAAGCATTAAGCATTTATCATGGAGAAGCAATGGAACACGCACTGCGATCAGATAAATAACTTTAAGGCTTTTATGACTAGATTCGACAAGGAACACGCTTGACGCTCTGTCAGGAAAATATTGTAACTTACAGGGTTAGTTTTAATTACTGCAGTTTGATTTCGTTCGGCTTCTCTGACTGATATAAACACACACACACAACGTTATAGCTCTCTGAAAGACTCTGGAACACGCAGATGTCGATCAGCTATAACGAGGTATTTTTCTGGAAATAAGGAACACGCTTAATTCCTACCTTATTGTAGTGTGAGGTTTTATATCTTATGCAGGTATAAAGAAAACAAAATAGGCGACAGACTAGACTTCTCAGCTTTCTCTGGGAGCTTCACTCACAGATAACAGCAGCAGCAACATTCAACGTGCGCGCGGCGCATACGTCACACACAGACTCGCGGAGGTTCGGATCTCGCATCCGCAACCAAAAATGAAAAGATAATTTCTTGATATATGTTCACAATTTAGGTTGAACTGCCCGCATTCTCCACCAATATGTAGCAAATGCAACATATAATAATATACATAAAATGTATTAAAGGGGGCCGAAGGCCAATTTAGCTCAAAGGGAAATGATTCATTGATTTGCAATGAATCTATGGAACAGAATCACTGAGCCGAGCAAATGACTCGCTTAGAGTTCATTTGAACGGGCCGTAATTATAACCAAATCTATAGTGAAACACTATATCTTAGCAAGGTAACTTTAAATCGAACAGTACAAGACATTAAATGTGCAAACACGACACAAGAATATTTATCTTTTCAAATATATGGACAAGACTTTATTAGCTATTCTAAGCACAAAACTAAGGTCTAAACATAATCACGCACACGCACACACACATTCATACAGTCGCGAAAGGGAAAGAGTGAGTTGGAAAGAGTGAGAGAGAAAGTTTCAACTTTCTATATGCACGTAAGACATAACCTGAAAGGACCACCAAGCATTAATTTGAACCTTCATTTCTTAGAGAGGTTATTCAATTAACATCAAAGCACCAGTTCAGTTAGAGCCTGGAGTACTTGCGCTTTGTAGTGGCTGAGGGAATTCCCTTTGTCTGCGTCGCGTCGAAGGGGGGTTTCCCGGCCGGGTCCGTTGCGTGGTTTGTTGTCTTTGAAGTGCAGGGATGGAAGTTTCGCCGCTGGTCACGTGTGATTAGCAAGCGAATGAGAGTCTTTTCCAATTCGAAGCGCGTTGCAAACTTAACTTTGAAACGAGACTTTTACGAAAAAGGAAATAAAGGAAAGAAATGAAAGCAAGGCGAGTCGGATGGCTTGACTGAGCTGAATTGTAACCCTGATCTTGATGGGTTATTCGTCTGCTGGTCGAATTTGGTCTAGTCGATGTAGAAGCATGCGAACATGTTCTTTGTTTCAGAGATAAGCACGAACAGAACACTCTCTTGCTGGTTTTAGAGAGAGGCACGGACTTAACAGTTACAGAACAGAACGAACTGAACAAAAATCTAAACAAAAATCATCTGAAATCTTCTGCAATCTACAAAAATCTGATCATGAGGTCCTTTGTTCGGATCTTTAACTTAAACTCTAGTCCAACCTCCAAGAAGCTTCTGGCCAATTGGAGGCGGATCTACTTCTTGCTTTATCATAATTTATGCATGGTCTGTGAGCTGGTCTCCAGCACTTAGCAGAGACAAAAGACCATCGTTTAAACCTTATGATTATTATAATCATAAAACAAAACCTTTTACGCAGATTTCAATCAAGCCATCTTTTGAATTACGAGAATACGGTTCGTTTAAGAGCAAACGAGGCATTCACACTTCTAATGGTTGTATAACAATTACAAGAGTTAATAGTTAACAACAATTACATGGTTATTATGTGATCTAAGCATAATACACATGAAGTGTAGGAACAACAAGAATTATGATTGGTTATAGGTCCAAGAATTGTTCTGTGGTGAGTTTATATGATTTTATGTGTGAGATCTCCGATCTCAATCGTAAGGTTACTGAGAGTTCAACTCGAAGGGGGACGAGGCAAAGGTGTTCTGTGGAACATCTCTGTCAGGGCATCAGAGGGGTCTTTGATGTGAGATCTCGTTCCACCATTTTGGAGCTGATTTGTCTTAGTTAAAATTACCATATTGACACGTTCGTCCTGTTTAGTGCCCCTCTCTTGGGCCTGTGGGGCAATAAAAGTCCTTATCTGCAGACAGCACGGAGTCGTTCCGTGACTCTGGAATGTGGGCTCCAGAACTTGGAGTGTTGAAGCCATGTGAATTAATCCCATGAGAGATCAATTTGATTAAGTTGTGTTTGATTCGCCTCGATTCTCTACATTGCCTTGGCTTGCTCAATTGCACTTGCACTGTTATGTACTTTTTGCTTTCTTCCAGTGTGTGAATGAATACAAATTACTGCTGATTTCTTCTTTAGGTTCTCCATCATGCCCTTCCGTCCTCTTTTTTGCTTATAACTAACACACCACCACTTTCTCTCCATCTCTTCTCTCTGTAAGCCCTGTTCATGTCCTCAGACAGCCCCTACACCAGCCGTTAATGAAGCTTCTGTTTGTGTTTATGTGCTTCCAAATATTTGCAGATAGTTTTCCAGAAGCCTTTAATCTTCTTCAAAAATCGCCTTTTTCTGGGTCATTTTGTGTGGTGAAGAGTTAAGGTGGAGACTTTTGACTAAAAACGAATTGTGCCCTCTGGCAGCGACATTTTTTACACGAATCACTAAAGGAATTGCACAAATCAATTATATGGCACAAACAAGAAAAATGTTTGTGTTTGAGGGGAGGAGTATGTATTCACAATTTCACATACAAACACTCTATATCTCCTGTACAGTAAGTCTCTTAAATATTACCAAGAAATGAAACAACATTTTTTTTAAAAGGTATTTTATTATTGTGACGGCAAAGGTGGAATTTAGCATCATTACGCCATAATCTTTCAGAAATCATTCCAAAATGCTGATTTAGTGCTTAAGATACTGATTAAGCTCACTGTTGAAAACAGTGCTGCATATACACTACCGGTCAAAAGTTTTAGATAGGTATGATTTTTTTTTTTTTTTTATGTTTTTAAAAGAAGTCTCTTCTGCTCACCAAGGCTGCAATTATTTGATAAAAAATACCAAAAAAAACAAACAAACAAAAAAGTAATATTGTGAAATATTATTACAATTTAAAACAGCGGTTTTCTATGTGAATATATAGTGAAGTGTAATTTATTCCTGTGATCAAAGCTGAATTTATAGCATCATTACTCCAGTCTTCAGTGTCGCATGATCCTACAGAAGTTATATAATATGATGCTCAAGAAACATTTATGATTATTATCCATGTTGAAAATAGTTTTTTACATTTTTATTTCAGGATTCTTTGATGAATAGAAAGTTCAAAAGAACAGAATTGATCTGAAATGGAAAGCTTTTGTAACATTAATCACTACCATTCAAAAGTTTGGGGTCAGTAAGAATTTATTGTTTTATTTTTGGGGGAAAAAAATTAGAAAATACATGTTTTCCTCAAGGATGAGTTAAATTGATCAAAAGTTACAGTAAAGACATTTATAATGTTAAAAAAGATTCTAATTTAAATAAATGCTGTTCTTTTGAACTTTCTATTCATCATATAATTATGGGGGGAAATTGGACACTACTGCTTTCAACATTGAAAATAATCATTTATGTTTTTTGAGCATAAAATCAGCATATTAGAATGATTTCTGAAAGATCATGTGACACTGAAAACTGATATGTAATCAGCAGCAACAGTAATGATGTTGAAAATTCAGCTTTATGTTAATATATTCAAATAGAAAACAGTCATTTTAAATTGTCATAATATTTTACAATATTAATGTTTGTCATTTTTTTTTTTTTTTTCATCAAATAAAGCAGCCTTGGTGAGCAGAAGAGACTTCATTTAAAACATAAAAAATCTTACTGATCTAAAACTTTTGACCGGTAGTGTATGAAATATAATGTTGTTGGTAACATTATAAATATCTTTGCTGAATAAAAGTATACATTTATTAAAAAAATAAAAAATAAATAAAAAAAAAGTTTATTGACCCCAATCTTTCAAATGCCAGTGTATTTCTTAACCGTATTCATCATATTTCTCTTTATTTCTTTCTTCTTTCTATCCTGCTTTCTCTCGCCCACTCTAGTTGTGAACTGCACTGATCCGGGACATGTGGAAAATGGTGTCAGACAGGTCCTGCCCAGCGGGCCTCATCGTTACAGTTTCCAGACTGCAGTTTCTTACAACTGTAACCCGGGATACTACCTGCTGGGCACCAGCACTCTGAGCTGTCAGGGAGATGGCACATGGGACCGCTCCCTACCCAAGTGCCTCTGTGAGTCATCTTAGTCTGATAAATCATCAATCAAATAATTCCACAACCTGCTTTCCTCTGATTTGTTTATACATGTGATCTGACATTGTGAACTCTAGTTAAGGTTTGTCTGTTTTTCTGTGTGCCGCAGTGATTCTGTGTGATCGTCCCAGCATGCCTCCGTATGCACAGATCTCGGGGGACAGACGCACTGTGGGCTCTGTTATCCGCTTCAGCTGCATCGGCCAGCGCAGCATTGTGGGCAATACCACCCGCATGTGCCAGCTGGATAGCCAATGGAGCGGCTCCCTGCCACATTGCTCTGGTACTCTAAATCTTTTCTCTACTCAACATGCATAATTTATCCACACAATTACAATTTTGCTTAATGGTTTACATGCTCCTTGCATCATCTGTTTTTTTTTTAGTACCTTGTTATATAACTATTGTTTTCGGGAAATATATATATATATATATATATATATATACACAAACAAGTCTACCTAGTATTATTTCAAAACATCTTGAGGCCCTATTTTTGTCCTGAGCAGTGAAACTGACAAAAATCCTTCATGCAAGATCTTTGGTTTCCCAGCATGCTCTGCACATTTGAGTGATCTTCTTCGCATTGACAATACACTTTTAGAAAAAAGGTACGAAAGCCGTCACTGGGGCTGTACCTTTTCAAAAGGTACACTTTTGTCCATTTTAGGTACTAATATGTACATTTCAGGTGCTAATATGTACATTTCAGGTGCTAATATGTACATTTCAGGTACTAATATGTACATTTTAAGTGTTTATATGTACATTCTAGGTGCTAATATGTACATTTTAGGTGCTAATATGTACATTTCAGGTACTAATATGTACATTTTAAGTGTTGATAGGTTCATTTTAGGTGCTAATATGTAGATTTTAAGTGTTGTTATGTTCATTTTAGGTGCTAATATGTGCATTTTAAATGTTGATATATTCATTTTAGGTGCTAATATGTACATTTCAGGTGTTAATAAGTTCATTTCAGGTGCTAATATGTACATTTCAGGTGCTAATATGTACATTTAAGGTACTAATATGTACATTTCAGGTACTAATATGTACATTTTAATTGTTGATATGTACATTCTAGGTCCTAATATGTACATTTTAGGTGCTAATATGTACATTTCCGGTGCTAATATACCATTAAGGTACCAATATGCACCCTTAAAAGGTACCTTTTTTTCTGAGAGTGTACGATGTTGAAATCCAGCTTTACCACTCAGGTAAGCAAGAACTTAAACACAACTATCACAAAGGTTGCAGTTACTGACGTTCAAATATGCTGCGATATTAAGAAGGCTATGCAAACTTTTGAACAGGATAATTTGTGTAAATTGAGTTAAATATTGTTTCTTATGGAGTATATGCAAATATGATATGCTGTGTCTCCAGGGCAGTACTAAACCAAAGTACTAATGAAACAGTTTTTTCCTTATTTAACTCTCTTATGTTTTTGTAAATATGAAACAGATGCACAAATTCTCTCACAAGGGAGTATACACTTGAAAAGAAGGGAATATTTTTTCCAATTGAAATATATATATACAATACATTTGAGATGACACCATCTCTGGGGTCGTGTAAGCGTGTGAGATCATGAATCAATGGCTTCAGGATTACAGCCTAGATCAGTGGGTGGTAATACAATATTGCCAGGCATTATTGAAAAGCTTCATTCCTGGCTGTAAAACCACTCACAGGTTTATGTCACAATTCATAACATTCACATTTCTCAAAAGATTGTGGGTTCTTTCTGCCAGCTGTCAAAAATTGTATTGTATTTTTTTCAAAATTCTGCACATCTAGGGGTTAATAACTGGCCTGTCTGTGTGAGTTTCTTAAAACGATATGCTGTATACTATTAATTCTTTAATATTTACTTTGCCCTTCACCAGAAAACTCACCATTCATAATGAATTAATGATTGTTTGTTGATCATTACCGGAGGATATACAGGGAATTGGAAGATAATTTGTAAATGCATCAGTGGATCAAAATAAGAGGATTTAGTGAAGAACATCATGGAGTGCACACGTCGCCATTATGAGCGGGGAAATTAAGGGAAATTTTCTGTCCCTGGTGCTTTCTTATCCAAAGTAAATTATCACCTAAACCAAGCCACTGTGATTTCTCTTTTTCATCTCATATGCCAGGTCTACCACTGAGAGTTGTTCAATAAATATGAATGAAATTACTTATCATCTTGTGTAAATCTCAGTTAACCTCTTTAGATAAAAACCTAATGTAATAGAGAGCAAGTCCTGCAGGGTATCTAGATTGTGGTGTTCCATTCATTCTCTGTCGAAGTATCTATATTCGACTAGTTTGAGGGTATTTTTTTATTGTAGATGGACATTAAACCAAGAGTTTAGCCTCGTTAAAACCTGACCATTCTCAGTTGTAACTGAGTTATGGTCTGGCAAAGCGTCATAGATAAATCATTTCCAGAGGGGCGTCACCAACGGACGTCGCAGGTAAACCTAAAACTAATCAGAGCGATGAAGGAGATGACGTATGCAAAGAAATCCAAATTCAAAAAAACTTTATTATCTATCAACCAGTGATAGAAAATTGTCTTTGGTTAAAAAGGCTAACATATACACATACAAAACACATACATCACAATTAAAAAAATTGTTACAAGGGAAAAAAAAAAGTAGGCCTGCCTTACACTATACACAAAACAAAAGGCTCAAGCACAATATACTGTATACTATAATAAACATCTCCGAGGGTCGCCCTAACATTTCTGATTGGTGCCGACGGATTGGAAATAGGCTTGAATGAGCTCTTTGCCAGACTAACTTTCAGAGGAAATCTAAATTTGTTGGAAGTTGTCTGGGTTTTCCCTCATTTAAACTCATGGTACTTCAGGTGTAAAGACAACTCTATTGATTTCAGTAGGATAAATTTAGTTTGAGTTCTGTCCATTGGGTTATGCAAGCTGTGTCCAAAATTGTTCCCTTATATCTGTATTGTCCTTTGAGCACAATATATATTTTTTTTTACATTTTATGTGATTTTTTTTTTTTTACAGTTTTGTTTTTATTTTCTTTTTTTATATGGTATTTCAGTTTTTCAAAACATTATTATAAATGTGCAATTTTTTTAGGCCAAACTAAAATGAAAAAAAAAAATCAGTATTGATGTAGGGATATACCCATTGTTTTTTGTTGTTGTTTGTTTTTTTGTTGTTGTTTTTTTTATAATTAGTATTTTATTGAGTTTTAAGCACCACTATTACATTATAAACAGCATTGTAGTCAATATTACAATTGACATCTTAACATATCCCATAATGATGCTACATTTTTACATAACAATAAAACAAAAAATAATTAAACTAAAAGAAAAAAACAAAGAAGAACAAAAACAAAAAAAAAATAACTAAATAACTAAGTAAAGTTAAAAAAAAGGGGGGGGGGGAGAAAAATTAATAACAAAGAAAATCAAATGAGTCAAGTGTATAGTTTTACAATAAACACCATGCTCTCATCTAGTTGCAATACATTGAACATATTTTCCCCATTTCGCCATATATTTTTCTGCCCTATCATTAATATCGAAATACATTTTTATATACGATTGGATATACCTATTGTTAACACTGTCATATAACTATATCAGAGGTTTGAGACACCGGCCAAGAGTCCAAGTGCTAATTAGTCTTCATATGCGTGTTGTTTCAGGGGATTCTGCCGGTTTGTGTGGAGACCCTGGCATTCCAGTGCACGGGATCCGTCTGGGAGAGGAGTTCTCCGTAGGGAGCGTTGTACGATTCAGCTGTGAGCCCGGCTACATTCTGAAGGGGTCCTCAGAACGGACCTGCCTGGCTAACGGGAGCTGGGTGGGCATCCAGCCTGAATGCCATGGTAAGATAAATGAAACCTGGGTTTTTGCAGAAGAATGTGGATGAAAACTCATGATTAATTGCTTCTGCCTCTGGAAGATTCTGCTTTACCCCAAAATTGTAGCCTATGCAAATTTCTGAGACAGCGAGTTATTTGATTCTTCACACAAATTCCCTTGTGTTTTCATTTTGTGCAAAACAGGAGAGGGAGATGGAGACAGACAGACAGACTGAGATAGAAAGTGGTTGATGAGAAGTTATTTTCATCTAGAATATTCCCGTCTGTTCTCTGCTGTAGCTTTAAAGTGGTTCAGTACACCCGGGGTGTACACGTTACACTTCCACATGTACCGTGTTTTCTTTTTCCCAACATGCTGAACACCATCCAGCCATGTTGCCCAGAAAACTGTGCCGACCCCGCTGGTCCCCTGGACGCTGTGCTGCTGTGTCCACACTCTCTCTTTCTCTCTTAAATAGCATTATTATTCTGCTCGTGTTGGTTTGTGTAAAGTGCCTGCGGAGTCAGGCTGACACCCCAAAGAAAGGCATGTCAGAGAAGCAGAAAACCCAGGTTAATTACCCGTGTGGAGATGCCTGCCATTTTTCTTACTCCACTTTTTTAAACACCAGCCTTTTGTTTCATCTCACATCTTGTTAACAGTCACCCCTAAACATGTGCGATATTTTTAGTTTTGCGTCTCCTACAAAGCACACTGTCATCTGAATCCATTCCTACCTCTCAAATGCCCGCGGGCTGTGCGTTTGAAATGTGTGTGTGTCTAAGTTTGTGTTTCTTTATTGATTTGACCCTTGGGCTATTGTTATCCATGCCAGTTCAGCAAACTGTGGTGGCTTAAAAGGTGGATTCTCAGAAAATGCCGACGTTTCAAGAGAGAAAATCAATAACAGCCTAAACCCCCTCTCATAAATTTACATCCTGAACACAACATAAAAAGCTTATTGTCTTGTGCAAGGGGAGATCAAGAAGACTTTTTTTTTTTTTTTTCATTTATGTCCTCATCACAAACGTTTGATGTCTCAGCATTCACTTATATAAGGAAATTGACCATTATTTGACATACTGTATAGTGGTCATCACCTACTGAGCTGTGATCAGTAGTGTTTTCTTGTTGCTGCAAAGTCTAAATATAAAAAGTTCATAAAAGTCATAATACTATAGATGAAGGAGAAACAGTGAGTGTTATTTGCCATCGTGGCTATTTACCTGCAGCAAAGTGGCAAATGCCGGTCTATCTAGGCCATGGGTCACCAAACTAAGGCCCGCGGGCCGAATCAGGCCCGCCACACCCCTTTGACTGGCCCCCCAACCCCTCTGCCCCCCACTACTTGAACCGGCAATCCCCAAAAGTCGTCATGGCCTATTTTTTTAAATTGCTTTTTGGAAAATAATAACATGTCTGCATTTGGTATTTTGTTGTTTATTGAGCATGCTCACCTGGATAGGCATAAGAGCTGACTAGTTCTATTACTCATGTTGTTGTTATAATTTCAATGTTTATTTATTTATTTAATAGGCCTATTTATTTGACCTTTATTAAGTGCTGTACACAATTATTATAAATAGTAACAGGCCTACCTATAATTTATAATTTTTCATTCATCCTTACCAGTGCCACTCACCTCAACTAGGCAGATGTTTCTTACCTTGACAGGTTTGATGTTATTTGTATTCGAAAATAAATAAATGGAAAATCTGTGGTATTTCAAATTAAAACAAAGTGTGAAGACTCGATTACTACTTTTGCAAACAACTATTAATGATAAACAAATATGGCTGTGCCAGGCTAGTAATCTCTACTATGAGGCCTGCTGGTGGTCAGTTTGGTCACACAATTCTATTTTATATAGCCCCGGCCCCCCATCACAGTCAGGAACGATAATGTGGCCCCCAGAGAAAAAAGTTTGGTGACCCCTGATCTAGGCTCACAAAACCATTCAGGCTCGGAGTCACCACGGCGAGTACCACTGTATGTACATGGAGACGTGTCATAAATTATAGAACAGTTTCTGACAGCTAAAATGAGCTTCTCAGTCATCTTGCTTCTGTCGGACTCGGCACTGAAGAGTGACGGATCACGTGCGCTCCACTGACCAAACTCCTACTGGTTGTCGCTTCCGAAAGTTGCTCTTCATTTGCATAAAGTTGATTTATGCACACACTTTATTTTGATAGTCCACTTTAGACATTCTACTAACTATAAGTAACTTTCAACTATATGTCAACTAACCGTCATTAGAGTATTAGTAGATATCTGCTAACACTTTATTTTGTTGGTCCCCCAACAGACATTCAACTGACTATAAGTAACTTGGCGACTACAAGTAAACTTATTCGCCTAACACTTAAAGGACAACTCCGGCGGAAAATGAACCTTTGGTCTAATTACACATTGTTACCTAGTCAACCGTTATCTGAGATTTGTTTTCATGATTGCCAAATGTAAATAGTTTTATCTCTAAAAACACTTTAGCCTATAACGCTAGTATAATGCTAGTATATAGGGCATAGAGTAATGACAAATAAAAATCGCTTGTTATTACCACTAACAAGGCTCAAAATAGCCCGACACTAACACGACAGCATAATAAGGGTCCCTACATTCAAACCGAAGCATTGAGAACTTTGTCAGTGTCCATACAGTTAAATAAGAAGATATGTTATACACACCGTCAACTTCGCGAATACAGGAAGAAGCCATCTTTGAAAAATAGTCTCTACCAGTCGATCTACGAATGCCGATCCATGTGCGCTGGTGAGATGTGAATAAGGTGATAAGGTGAGCGCGAACATTAGGCTACGTGTACATATTGAAGAGAAGAAAACGGTTCGTGTTTGTGTTTCTTCCGAAAACAACGGACCATATGAGATTCTGCACAGTTCAGCGCACTTGGATCGGCGTTCGTAGATAAAACTGGTAGAGACTATTTTTCAAAGATGGCTTCTTCCTTTATTACCGAAGTTGACTGTGTGTATAAAATATCTTCTGTATGGACACTGACAAAGTTCTCAATGCTTCGGTTTGGAATGTAGGGACCCTTATTATGCTGTCGTGTTAGTGTGGGGCTATTTTGAGCCTTGTTAGTGGTAATAACAAGGGATTTTTATTTGTCATTACTCTATGCCCTGTATACTAGC